CTGCAAGGCTCGGGAATATGGATAAACGTGCGTGCTGATGATGAATGAACATGGTAGGTGCTGGAGATTGAGTCTGAGGAATCTATCGAAGAATGCCCAGGTGCTGACATCATCGGCAGCGCACAGACCCCAGCAAGAAAGCTACACTCTCCAGTCAAACACCTCCTCCCCGCATCCCTTTGACCCCTGTTTGGTTCACATCTCAGGCGGAGTTTTTAATATTCCAGGCAAACTTCGGCTTCCGCTATCGGGATGCCTCTGTCGAATTCCTCTATCGAGATCGGGCTTTGAGCGACGGTTTTCGTTATCAGCCGGCAACGTCTACTCCGAGATGACCTCTTGTCCGAGCTCAGGGACTATTCGAAATACAATTGAAGATCTCTTAACGCTACATCTCTAGGTACTAGAAGATCTGCCGTGCTCACTCACCACGTGGAAAGCCTAGCAAATGCTTCCATGGCCTTTAGTACAGCCTCGGCTGCTTCTGACTGCGGAACAAGATCGACACATGCATCAGCGGATTGTCCCGAATGCGCCACCTCCACAGCATCGTCTGTCATCCCCTTACCGCCTTCCATATCCTCGTTATTGTAATCGCCTGGATCTTCGCGTGCAGCTTTTGCCAGAACTGGTTCGCTTCCAGTCGGATCACGATAATCCCACGTCCCAGGCTTCTTCCGATGTATTGCATGCAGCTTGGCAGGCTGTCTACGGCCACCACCCGCACCAGGACGCTTCCGTGGCTTCGTAGTCATCCCGTCTGCAGGCTCATCCTCCACGCCTCCAAACCCGTCCTGTCGCATGAATTGGTCGAAGAACTGCATGCGAGGTTCATCAATCTTGAGCACTGCCTTACATGCGCGATAGCCCTTCTTCAGCATTGCTGCGACGTACTTGTTGGCGAAGTGTTGTATCCTGTCCTCCTCAACTAGCCCGGTGCTGTCCATTGCGGCATCATCACCGGAGCCAAGGGTGAGACTGTCGAGAGCTACTTCCGCACGTACTACATCGATCAGGCAAGCCGGACAGACGAACGGCTGGCCTTGCATCGGTCGCGCACAGGTCACACCACAGCTTGCGGTATACTCTGTTTGGATCCTGTGGCCACACTGTAGGTCATGGAACGTCGATGATGGGTTGCATGGACTGTACATGTCGTGGAAGTGCTGATCACTCTCTTGGATCTGCAGCTCACGCTGTTGCCTTTCGGTTTCAGCTACCTTGTTGTGGAAGGCATCGATGATAGCGCGAGCTTGTGCAGGAGCAGCGTGCATGTTTACCCGAGAATCACCCCGGGCAGCTGAATTGATGCAGTCGGTAGCCAGGCGTGTAGTTTTGATGTCGCATTCGAGCTGGCGATGAGATTGTCTACTTCAAGAGATGGTTGGTGTTGTACTTGGGTAGCGAAGGTTGTCGACCCGGAGGGAGAGTCATGTGTTGATAGGGGAACTCCGCGCGTGACAAGATGCGCAATGCCGAGGACGGCTGACTAATACGGGAGCGGAGCCTTGTGTCAATAGCACCGACTCACGGTAAGACACCTGTACAGAAATTTGATGAGAAGTCTTATTTGTGTATCTTCATTCGACTCACAGTAACGTCGAATGGTGGGTAGTGCAGCTCGACCCCTTCCTCATTCTCAATTAGGACAACCTTGCTCACAGGCCATCCATTGCTGTCATGATAGCCGTCGAAGTCGAACCAATCGCACGATGCCAATCCTGGAAAGATCATCCTCCAAACCTGCGCTCCAGGTCCAAATTCATCTGTCTCGCCTACACCCTCCGCCGGCTCCAAGACAACCCCTTCCGGTGTAGAGAAGTAGCGTGGCTGGGCATCCGCGGTCCAGGACAGGCGATCTATTGCTTCGAGCGCGGATGAACCGTTCACCATGAGCGAGCGAATATACAAAATCTGGTCTTGGATCTCCAAGTTGGCGTAAGTGGAGGAGTTTGAGAGCGCGGTGGCGACTTCATCAGCAATGAGTCCAGTGTCTTCACCAGCGCTGTAGAACCCTGTAAATCGCTCCTTCGTTCTTGTGCTCAATGCTTCTGCGAAAGCAGGCGCAAGAATAGCATGTACTGTATCTCTGACAGCACTCGTTGAGATACCTGCGTAGTCGGCCAGACCAGATCCTTGCACGAGCACGATTATGCCATAACCGAGATTTGGTATGGCGTCGATCCAGCTATGCCAGCCTCCTCCATCGCCGGACTTGCCAAAGATGCTATATGTCTTCATACTGTCTTCCGCCAGACTAGCATTTTCACTCGTCGGTAAGTTCAAGATCTCGATCTCCCAGCCTGGGCCGCTCTGCTGCTTGCCGTCTGCAAGTATGACACTTGGCTTCATGACCTGACGGCGCTGGAAGGGCGTAATGAGCGTAGGCTCGGGCGTGAGCCACAGACCGTGCATATACCGGGCGAGATCGTTTGCAGAGCTCCACATGCCGGCTGCTGGATCGTAGCCTTCTCCTACGATCAAATCGACCCAGCTGTCACCGCCCGGTACGGTTATGTCGGGGCTAAGATCTTGCGGAACAGTACCAAAGAAGCTATGAGTCATGTTTAACCGTTGAAGAAGTTCCTGGGCTGTGAGCTCAGACCAGGTCAGAGACGAGGAAGTGATGTTGTTGTAGTATGTGGCTACAGCAGCTACCGGTTGGTTAGTCGATGTTCTCATTGGCCGCATAGAATATCCACTCACCACCCAGAATGCCCAATCCAGCATTAGAATCTGTCTATATTAGTACACGTCTCGCTCACAGGACAAATCTGCTTACAAGCCGCCCTCTGCCCTGGCGCAAACATCAAATTCTTCATCGCTATCCCATCAATTACATCTTGGGCAGTTTCACCCGCCCATGCGGCCCCAATGGTCGGTGTATCTGCCTTTCCGGTACTAAGAATCATGTTGAAGCCAGTGCTGTAGCTTTCCCGTGGTATACCCGCTGTGTGGCTGGCAAGCATACGCAATGTGATCTCGCTGCCGCCATCGTTCCAGTCTCTCTCAGGCAGACCGAAAGAAGGAAGCAGTTGGCGAACGGGCGTGTCGATAGTCAGGAGTGATGACGACGATGAGGAGTTTTGTCTGAGCTGATTTTCGATGACCAGAGCAGAGGCCATCGCGACGTTTTTTGAACAAGACATCAGACGGAAGACAGAGTCGCTCGTCACCAGATTTGCGTCAATTGGGCCCGCATCCGTCTCGTTGAACTTCAATGTTCCATTGTTGAACACATATGCTGGCTTTGGGCTTGACGCATGAACCTTGTGGTCGTTAACGATGGGCCTTTTGTTGAGATTGGACCTGCACATACAACAGCGAAGCTGAGTCCATCGCGCGTAGTGTTGATGTATAAAGCTGAGAGATTGCGCTGGACTTGTTCAAATGCTGTGATCACTGCCGGATGTTGGAGCGTCAGCGGGTCAGACAGTATCTTGTCGGCGAAGTCGGGAACGCAAGCGCATGCTGCGAAGGAAAGCAGGTTTGCTGCAAATGCGAATGTGATCCTCATTGTGAGGCTGTTGTTTTCGAACTCAAATCACAGAAGCGAATGTAGGATATGCGCGAGAATGTCGGGCTTTGGGGGTACTTGTACATTGCGATACAGAAGTATGTTGTGCACAGGTAGATACCGCTGCAACGGTCCAAGAGTTGCGTATGCGCCGAGATGGCATCAGGGATGCAATAAGCCAATGATGTGTTTCTGTTCCTGCAACTAAAAACACCTGCCTATCGGGGCCGATTTGTTTGCATATAGCTGCAGATGATCCATATTGCTTCTGGTTATACCTTTTCACTTGGGCGACGCTGACTTCAATTACCGTCAACACCCATAGATCGATCACTTGTTACAAAGCAGTGACCCTGAATAGTTGGAGCCTGTCGCAATGCTTACTCCCGAAATGAGGGCGAGAAGGACCGGATGAAACGTCCATGGATGATCTTCGAAGGACGAGGTTTAGGTCAAGAGTGGGGTGACCCCATGTTGGTACTTGCGCCCCACATCAACGCTTATCTCTAAAGTCAACAGTCTTGCGTTTACACCTTTCATTTCTTCCATGATCGTGTTTCCTCGATACCGGCGACTTTCAATTACTAGTATAAGACCTGCTGCGCCCTGTATTCTGTTCACAGCATCTCCCTTCTACGCCGCTGCGCCTGAGTTGCCCAGGCGGGAAGGGGACGAAATGTTCAAGGATGTCGTAGACACCTAACAACGCCACCAGCTAGAAGGTGCTTGCCAGACGGCACTACGAAGTGGTGAGCTCGTGACAAGTCAAGCCGAGGTTTATCGTGTTCCGAACTTGTTTGCTACCAATCAAGCGCCCGCAGGTCAAAGGTCTTTACATGTGATCTCCGCACACATCGCTGTTGACATACATGTGTATGGCGACCAACTTGACGCAGTCTGAATGTATCAGATAAAGAGCAAATAGCGACACGATTGTGTCGTTCTGTATGTTTGGTCTATAGCTTTTTGTTCGTCACCTTGAAATATTGATTCAATTTCGGACGCCTAGCTCGACTCAATCACTTGACAAGCCATGTAAGATGAATGAAGTGTAATAAAACGTATATTGTTTGAAAGAGCGAAACCGAGAAGGTAAAAATAACGTATTTGGCTTTGCCGCAGCTGGTAAAATAAGACCAACCATTGTATCATTATCGTAGAAAGAACGTATCTCTAGTCAACGCATCGCGCTCTAAGGGCCTTTTTCGCTCGCTCTCCTCTAATCGTTCGAGCCGAGATCTATCGATGTCGAGACCTTCCATGTTACTTGATGGCCTATCGCCAGAGCCTCTCGCGGCGGTAGGTCGATGGTGCTGTTGCCATGGATTTCGGGACGTCAAGACTGGCATTGACGGTCTTGAGGCGAGAAACCGTTCGGGCAACATAGCCTGGTCTTGCTGTCTTTTCTTGACTCGAGCGCCCTCCTCCAGTGAGTCAAGTCTCAGTTGCAGAGACTCTAACTTCTGCCGTGTAGCTTCCGGTTCTAGAGCTTGCGGAGACGGTACAGGATCGGGAAGTTTCCTATGAGTGCGACGCCTGAATCGTTCGGGTATTCCATTGGCTGTGCGGATTTGATGGTGTGGTGGGACAGGATGGACTTTATCTGTAGACTCCTCGCCCCGAAAGTACGCTTGTGAAAGTTGGCTGTCCAGAGTTCGGGCGCGAATCGGAAGTGTAGGATGAGCTGCGCCGTGGCGTCTAGCCCATTGCGCTGCTCTTGTATCTACTGTCCTGCTAGAATCAGGCTGGGGTGGTGGAAGTGGAATTCTCTGGTTCTTATCGAGGTTTATGGTGCAAGCCGAAGCGCCGACAGAAAGTTCGCCAATGCGTGGTGGCAGTGTTAGATCGTCGTTGCGTTCCCGCTTGGTGCTCTTACTCTTCAGATCGGCTTCCGAAGTAGGCTTCTCTTCAGGCTTTGAAGAGCTCCGAATAGAGGATGTGAGGTTTTGACGCAGCCGATCCAGCGTCTGTACCAGGATTGCGCAATTCTGGCACGGAGGTGTACTGTCGAATTGCGGAGTCGATTGTGATGAGAACGCCGGACTGGAAGCGTTGCTCATGTAAACATGCTGGAAGTTCGGATCCATCTCGCCACAGACAGAATTCAGTTGCTTCGCGTTGACCGAGGGGACGGGCGCAATCGGTACTGGGCTACGCTTATGCTGCCACTGCTGGATCTTTTCTTCCGTGGTCATTGAGCGTGAGAACTTGGAGAAGAGCGAGGGGCCTGCAAAAGGCGCGAAGTCTGAGTTGCGTTGCTGAACGAAGTCTGCGGGAAGGGTTGCCGCTCTGGCGAGTGGCTTCTGTAAGTGTTGTGATGGTGTATGCGTAGAAATACCGGGCGCGCGTCGCAGAGTTGGCTCAACGGGACCGCTCGGTCTTCGTAGTGGAGTGAAGTCGGAACTCGGCATGTCCACAGCACTTTTCTTTCCGTGCCGGATGACTTCAAGCATTGCGTCGCCTTTTGGGGCTGTAGTCAAGTTCTCGTATCCAGATGAGGTGATGAGAATGTCGTCTTCTATGCGAACACCGCCCACGGGCATGTAGCGCTTCAGTACCTCAGTATTGATGTACTTGGAGTGAACGGGTGATGGGAGATAGAAATGCTGTAGAGCGTATGCGGAAAAGTAGATGCCAGGCTCGACAGTGACAACCATGCCTTCTTCAAGATGGCTGCTCTGGGGATCGCTGGGCGCGAGGCAAGTCTCAGAGTCATATACTGGGACATGGAAATCCTGTGGGTAAAGAGATGGTGCCTGTCAGATTGTTAGCGACTGATCAATGTTGGGATTGATTGAACTTACCTGCTGGTACACTGGCTTCCCTCTTCTTACACTCATGAGTTGTGCCTGACCCACGTCATGCACTTCAAGGCCTATGTGATGTCCAAGACCATGGGGAAAGAATGCTCTACTTGTACCTGCCTTGTAGATTTCTTCTTTCGTTCCGTGGTGAAGAATTCCCAGTTGCAGTAACCCATCGATTGCGATCTGATGCGCCATGATGTGCAAATCGAGATATCTTACGCCGGGCTCTAGCCTTTTGATACATGTTTCCTGCATACGCTGGACCAGCTTGTAGATGTTCTCGGCTTCTTTGCTTGGCCAAGAAGTAGATAGCGGGAAAGTGCGGGTAATGTCACTTGCATAGAGCTCATACTCGCATCCTGCATCTAAACACATGAGTTGACGACCCGCGAGGTCTTCATCGTTCGCGGCATAGTGAAGAGTTCCGGCGTTCGGTCCGGAAGCAGCGATGGGATCGTAGGCCTGTTGCTTCGCTTGCTGCGATATGCACACATCCATGAACAATCCCTCGACCTGTGCCTCGTTCTTGAAGTTCGTGATGTTAGCAAGGATTTCTCGGTGCGCTTGCGAGCTGATGTCGTTCGCTTTCCGAATAAGCTTGATCTCGTGATCATCCTTGATCATGCGACAAACGTTCATGGCTGACCGAAGGGCTATCGAATCAATACCGGGCTTCAGATTGTCGCAGCCGGGGAATTGCGACGACTGGTGCAGGACGTAGATGCCAGCCTGCCGATTACCGATCGCCCATCCCTGCACGGCGTACTCAAGCTCATCTGCGTAGAAAACTTGATCGACATCGTACTTCACGAGTGCCTCTGCTAGAGTGGAGCCACGACCGTACCAGATAACGCGCTCAGGCTTGATGCGGGGAATGAACAGGGACAATTCGTCGCGTCGCGTGTCGTACGTCAGATGGCAGTCAGGTTCATTGCATCTTCATACCATCAGCACGGTCCTCATTTACTCCCAGATCAACGCACCCGCTCAAGTAATAGAAATATCGGCGTTGTCGGAAGGGTGCTGGCATGTCGCTATCTTCGTTGTTCCTCGCTGGTTGACCCGGTAGGTAGATCAGGCCTTCTTCAACACCCAACTTCTCTTGCACCCTCCGCGCATGTTGTTTTGCTGCGCGACGTTAGCTGATTGCGCGACCCACGCTCATATTCCCAGACTTACCGGGATACTTCTCAAACGGAGTCTCAGCCTCGAGGTGCAGCCAGTACTCATTGTCTTCCCATCTCAGGCGCTCAGAGAGACCTTTCGCATCGAGAACTTCCATCGTGTTACCTCGTAATGCCTCAGGGAAGAACTGCGATTGCGAAAGGCTTGAGCTCCGATTGAGATGTGACCGGCGTTTTAGTGTTGTCGAGGATCTCACCGGTAAAGCCACCGCATAGTGCACGTGCCAGCTCGACCGCTCCGGTCAGTAAACCGGGAGCTACCATCGTGAATGTTGTCAACACATTCGGCCCCTTACATCTATAAACTGACTGGTGCCGTCGACGATAGTCTCTTTGAGTAGACTGGCATCACGACTGCAGTGCGCCTCCAAACGTGTAGGCCCGACGAAGATGCCCATGTTGCCTTACGACCCCGCGCCTGCGCCTGCTTCCGCTGCCCATCGACTGTGCGACACGAGGCGAGGTCGTGTCAAGCGTCTACCCCAACTCATGTGGACATCTGCAGCATGCTCACTGCATTTGATAGGTGACACGATGAGACGTACACCGATTTCGGGTCAATGCAAGAAAGAGAAAGGAAATCGCAAGGTGTCTGATGAGAGAAGGATGCTGATTGGTTGGAAATATCTTGACCGGTGAACCGGTCAACACATAGCTAAGAGGCACGTACCCAATATGTCAGACTGAGTAATGTCGCACAGACATCCGACCGGCTCTGGGATCTCGTTTGTTTTAGCTAGCATTTACATCGGATCTGTGCTCTCAGAAAACATCGCCATTTGGGGGAGGGCGGGGAAGCTGACATCGCTGCATTGCCACCCAAGCAAAGGCCTTTGTGATCTCCCTGGAGGATCTCACGTCTTCGCAGAAGCCTAAGAGATGTCCTATGAGCCTCATAGAAAACGACATGCTGTCGCGATGCCGTTGGCGTTGCCTTTCATTTCATCACTTCGCTCATTCAGGGCATCAGATCATTTGCTACCTTCTCTTTCGTCACCTTCGAAGTCTTCACATCACTTTACTTGGTCAATCGTCCCATGCACATCGGCAAGTTTCATTCGTACTAGTGAGACTACAAAGCGATGGGTATCGCGAAAGACTAGCACCAGAACACCCTTCTTTCATAGCCCCTAGGAGGTTCTCAACGCCGTGTAAGCCAAGTAACACCATCCTTTAGCCTCTCCATGAGATCGCCATTGTCGAAACAAAGCCATATGCTCAAAGCCGACCGAGGAGGTTGTCGATGTCAACCCCAAACCCAACCTTGTCACCACAGTCCACCCTGGAGGCATTCAGCACTGGGTCGCTCCCCTAAGCTCATGTCGATAGCCGCCGAATACCCCGACAGCCATGTTCAGCGGCGCTGAGCTCGGTTCTCGGCAGCCTTGTTGGAGAAGAGAGTAGGGCGAATGGCGGCGAAACGCGCGCCTTGGGAACGGTGCCAGTAGGGACATGAAGTCTTGCGACAAGGCTTGTGCCTCTTCTCACGATGACACTGATCGCCGTATATCGGACGCTTGACCTCGGGCTCGCTGGGCTCGCTGGGTTTGGGCGCCTTGACGAAGCCACTGAAGGGGTTGTTATCCTGAGCCATGTTGATGTGGTAGTGGGTAGAGTTCGACTCGATCTTGAGGAAGTTGTTGTTACTGACGCTGTTGGTGTTGGCGCTGCCGGTAGAGCGAATCACTCCCATGTAGAGATCCCGGTAGTGGTCGCGCTCTTCGCGGAGCTTGGTGTTCTCGACAAGGCCAACCTCGATCGCGCCCTTGTATTGATCGCGCTGACGGGTGACGCCATCCAGGCGGAGGGCGAGCTGGGTGTCGGAGGTGTTGGAGAAGATTGGAGCGACATCGCCGTCATCGTCGTCATCGCTGTCCTTGCTGTGATTGTCGTCGTCTTCGCTGTCGTCGTCTTCGTTGTCGTTGTCGCCGTTGTAGTTGTAGTTGTTGTCGTCTTCGTTGTAGTTGTTGTAGTTGTTGTCATCGTGGTTGTAGTTGTAGTTGTAGTTGTTGTTTTCGTCATCGGTGACCTCTCCCATCCTCTGCTTCTTCCGCAGGCGCTTTTCGAGGACGATAATATGCTCTTGTAGGCCGACGATGATCTGGGCCTCGGTCTTCTTGGGCGGCTCGTTCTTGATCTTTACAGGCGCCATCTTTGAAATGATCACTTGGAAACGACTGGATGTGGGAATCGAATTGGTTGCCTTGCTGAGGGCGGTGCCTGACTTTATAGTAGGAGTGAATGCCAAGCATCGTGAAAGCTAGGAAAAGGGCTGTTTTCGGGTGGCAGGCAGGTCTCGACTGTTTTGCCTCCAAGAACTGCGTAATCGGGAGCTTAACTACGGAGTGAAGGACGAGTTACCCAAGTACCCTTGCGTAGTATTGGTCCATTCCGATAACCACACAGTCTGGATGAGCGCGTGATTCGGGTCTAACCTATCTAGGCACGAAGTGAGAGTGAGCCCCGGCTGCCTAGCCGCAACCGCAAGCCCCACGGAGGTGATTGACGCCTAGCGCCGTACGATCTTGGCGCAGCCCTCTGGGTATATAAACTGCTGCTCCCCGCCCACTTTGACTTCTTCTTTTCTCTTCAGTTGCTTCGCAGATTACTACTGCCATGAGAAGGTCTCATGTTCAACTCGCATGTCAGCTAAGCTGGTGCAACCGCCAAGTGGCTGTCAGCTAAGCTGGGTTACTGGAGGTCATACTGTCGCGCCCGATTTACGTACGGGGTCCCACGCGGCAGGGTACGACGACACTCACTAGATGGGTTGGTTGTCAGCAACTTCAAGATCCGCCTTGAGCGCCTTGTCGTCCCAGCCAGGCCGGTCTCCGGTCTGGTATACTGATGATGTCCGCTAAGCGGGTCAACAGGGAAAGATGAGAGGCCACCACAAAGATGAAAGGTGGAATCGCATTCAGTCTGGTCACAGACAGTCTATCTGACGCAGTGCTTGTCGCTTGCAGATAGTGACCTCCGAGGGCTTTGGGATTTGGAGAGAGGACGAGGTGATTCTCGTTCTTCCAGGCATTCAACACGCACTGTTCGCAGTGCTGTTTGTGTACCGTGCGCATCAGTGATGCGTGTCTGTCAACGGTATCTTGTCATCTTTTTCATTGAGCTCTGAGCCTTGCGCCTAGACTTGAGGAAGGAGAGTTGTTTGATCAAATGAGCGACGTATGTAGTATCCATGGATGTGAAGCTAGTTGTACACCACGAGGTCTGAATACAGAAGTCATTGCGACAGTGTTGGAGGAGTGTGATATGCAACATGTACATGAAAGGCGACTTCATGCAACTGTTGCTTGGGAAAGGAAAGGCTGGAATTAGGGAGTATGGATCGTAGCATCATGAAAGTACCTAGAGACTCGTCTCACTCATCGCTATCATCTTCATCATCGTCGTCATCATCGTCCATCTCTTCGTCTTCATCTTCACTATCATCCTCGCTTGCGTCAAGATTCACGGGTACCGTCGCCGGCCAATCCACGGTCACCTCTTCCTGTAATTCCTCCCAAAACTTGCCCATATCTGCTCCGGCGTACTCCATCACCTTCTTCGCTGGGACTGGGATGCTCAAATTGCTGTTTGCATCATCGCTCTTGAAGGTCACATACATGTGGTCTTGTTGCAACATGCCGACTTTAAGATGAGTAAGAGCAAGTCGCGGCGTCTTGGACAGCTTGCGGAAGAAGTCGCGCCAGAAGTTGGGCTTGTGTCCATGAGGTGGAGCGACTGCAGCGGGGATGTTCATCCTCCATAGGCTCAGATCTTCCAGAGTCGGCGCGAACTTGGAGATAAAGTTGAACAGAATATCAGCCCGAGCGCTTAGCTGACCAAGCTCGAGGTTCTTTAAGAGCGGTAGAGCAACTGGGGCAGGGTCAAGAAAAGTCGCGTTATTTGAGCTGGTGGTGGGTTTCGGAGTAGCCAACCACTGCAGAAAGTCCTCGTTATTGGCCACCAGATGTTTCTCAAAGTTCAAGCGAAGATGAACGAGATTGGGAGTGAAATGGAGGAAGCGCCGAAGCGAGCGTCCCGCGTTTGGATCCACTGACGTTCCGTTGCTATGGGTGTGCAGGTAACGAGGCTTGAGGTCCACGTTCAAGAGTAACGTGCTTGTGTTCTGCAGTATGGGCTCCACTGTAGGTCGGATGTAGTCTGGAAGGAAGAATGCCGTGTCGGGCAGGCCGCGCTGACGAAGCAACACCTCGAACTCAGTAGGTCGTCGGTTAGCCTTGCCCAAAGCGTACAACACGCTGGAGAAGACGCGAGACGTGAAACGAGTGCCGACGTCCTGTCCGAAAGAATCGCGATCAGCGAACCGTAGCTCAATACCGGTCTCACGATGGACGGTAGTTGCGCCCCAGGAGCTCCAGCTCTTGCCGTCACGAACTCGATTGCCTGCGTTGAAGTCGCGGATCCCGACCGTGGTGAGATTCTCGAGACGCTCGAAAGCTTCCGTAAGCATCTCGCGGTCGATCCCAGTACCCAAAAGCGCTTTCTGGTCCTCGTAGCCCTGAATGTAGCGCGTAGCGGCGTCGTCGTCCCTGAAGCGTAGTGGTATCTCGCTGTAGACATTGGTGGCAATGATGATGTGCACCAGCTTCTTGGAAAGACTGACATGCTTGGATATGTCGATGAGCGCCTGCAGACTCTTGTGCGTGAGCATGAACTGCTTCTTGAAGAAGAACTCTTTGGAAAACCATTCATAAAGCGACTTCTCGGTTTGTTTGCATACAAGACGCAGTGAACCAAGATCTTCAGTAGGGAGGTATTCTGATACCGCAACCAGCAATTCCAGCGGTATGGTGAGTAGTGATGCCATCTTGATAGGAAGCGACTTGTGTGAGCGAAGTTTGCTGTCGTGGTTGATGCAGGTGCTTGTGGCACGACTCCCGAGGCCGTCTTATCATGTGTGCACGCGTTCCGTTCGCGAAGGCAGAAACGCGGGCTAGTCCGCCTTGGGCGCTGATGCCTAAGGGCGTTCCTTCCGAACACAGGCCACCGTCTCATCGGCCACCTGGTTCCATCTCAACCAAATGTTCAAATAGCCATTCTGCGCCCCCAATCCAGCTGCATCGCGTCTTCAAGGTTCATC